CTCCCAAAAAAAAGGGGGGCGGGAGTAGAGTCGACTAAAACCCCAACCAACGATGTGCCCTGAAAGAAGTGCATGGTCTTTAATTGTCTGCGTCTGGCCGCGCGGAGGACGTAGGGGAAAAATGCTAGTTGTACTCGGGCCCCGTTCGCGATGACGTCAATCCACCATAATGTGTGGCATTTTCACGATTCCGGCGCTGAATTGTCGGTGGCCAACGCGACAAGGTGCGTATAATGGATTGGTCCTATCTCTCATCTTTCGACTTCCTTTCAAATCACAATAATTTCTCGGCAATCGATCGAGAACTTGTTCTTTTTCTGCTGTGTTTCGCGCGTACGTCATTTGGATTAACATGTTACTCTTTCCACTGAAAAATTCGTTTCGTGATGCTGGCAAATTTTAGTTAGTACTGCTGTTATTTTACGAGATGTTCTTTCCAGGCTGTCCATGTCGAGCAAGAAGAAAGGCGGTAAAAAGGTTAGTTCACATTTGCTTTCGACAACTTGCTCTATGTGTCAGGCTTTTCTGGGAAACGTTTATCTCTTCGACTTTTTGTAGTACAATAGCTGGAAGGGCCTATATCTCCTGCATTCTGTGTTTCTGTCTTTTACGGGTAGGCTCATGTTAAAATACTCAGCGGAAGACTTTTCGGTACGTTCGTGGCACTGTATGCTTCCCGCCGCGTGATTCGGCAAACAGTCGTTACAATTTAGAGTAGAGGAAGCGTTGATTACTTTTCATGTAAAGGCCTGCGCACTAATGTGATTGTTGAACTGAGCTGAGCAAATCGAGAGGAAATCGCTGTAATGGTAGTAAACGAGTGATGCACAGTGCAGCCTTCGAATTTAGTCGTTACGAGGTACATTTCCAAAACTGAACAGAACTGCTGATGGGTTGTCTTGGAGAGAACTCGTCCGGCTTTAAAGTAGTTAGAGGGAGGTGGATCACCCACCGTATAGACCACCGCGTCCCCTTTTCCCAGTCAAGGCTCAGTGGATCAAGGGAATTGTTGCCTTTGACACGCTTCTTTTCTTCTTTCTTGTTATGGTGGAGGCTTTGGAGGCTGCCTTCTCTGCGAGACTATCCCTCTTCGACCGTTTGCCCGTCTGCGCTCTAAGCTTTTTTGGGAAAAGGAGAGAGGCGCAGCCGAGGAGTGGACCCCTCGACTACGTGAGCGTCACTCGTTCGCTTTTTTACCTGAACAAAGCTTTAGGGTACAGAAGCATACATTCTGTCGTGGTTTGTTTCGGTATTTCCAGTGTAAGTGTTATTGGCCATAGGCTACATCATGCCGATATTGAGACGTGAAGACTGTGTCTGTACGACGCCTTCTCAGCACGAATGGTGCTACAGTGAACTGTTAATGCTCTCGCGCCCGTGATGGGCTCTCTGACAGGAGCAGACTATCTACGTAGAATCATCAAAAAATTGCAGATGTACATTCCCTGGTGGCGGAGGTGGTGTAGAGGCAAGTGGCACCAGGCGCGCGGTCCGGGGTTCAAATTCCGGATCCGCTCCCGTACAGGCCAGGTAAGCCTCCTATCGTCAGTATCGTCAAGGGGACGGTAAATTAACATCAGGTCCGTCTGGAGGATAAGAACACTGACTTGTACATGGGTTGGCCCCACTTCTCTGTATAGGCCACGTCGCATTCAACAAGCCCTACGGTACTAATGGAAGTAGAGTGTGTGCCGCATTCGAAAAAAGGGAGAGATGAGTGGTGAAAACTTCATACTCCTAGTCTGTCTAGAGTTGTATAGTCATGCCATTCAGGAAAACAAAAGGATGTTCATGAGAGACTAGATTCGGAGCGAAGGATCTTGCATGCTCTGTAGGATTTGGAAAACCACATTCGAGTTGCTGAGCTTTGAAAACTATAACTTTCTTTATCTGCAGGGTACAGCATCTTTGGGTGAGACACATAGGGGGGGGGTCGTATCTCGTCGTTGGAAGAGCAAAGGATCGTAGTGCCTATAAGAGCAACTTGCTGCGTTGGGAAGAATTTTTCCTGGTTGTTGACTTTTCGCGTGATTTTTCCTGTTTCATGTGTACTATGTGCCCCTTCCCCCCTTTTTTGGATAAACAACTGGACAATGTGAAATTGGTAGATAATTGTTGGGGAAGGGGGGGGGGGGGAGGGAGTCGCAGCGAGGCCCTGTGGGGGACGTACTGACACGCCCCCCCCTCTCGGAGGGGGGTGGGGTTCGTACCTACACCACCATTTCACACATCATAATGCTGTACCCCGTTCATATGTGACCCTTCGAAAAATAAAGAACACAGTTGAAAAGTAGAATATTTACGCTTCATAGTAGAAGCCCTCCATATTCAAAGGCTTCCCATCTCATGAGATGTTTTCGATATGGGTCTGGTAAAGGAAATTTTGGGACAACTCGAAACCCGATTCCTCCTATCAGTGAACCCTGAGCAGGTAGACCGCATATTCCCGTCGAAATGAATAATGAGTGGGAAGTACGATATTTAGAAGCGAATGATCTCATTTTTATAGATGGCATTTATGATGTAGGAAGGCAGCAGAAAAAGCCGTGGCATGGTTTGTTTATATTTCATTTCTCGTATACATTTCCCGCACAGTAGTATTCTCAGCAGGGCCAATCTCCCTGCTCCAGTGCCTGTTCACAAGGAAACCCCTGCGTTGTTCGATGCTGACTAACCCTGTGCTTATGACCCGTTGCACAGCTGTTGAGCTGGACCTCCCTTGAGGGGTATCCCTAGGGATGGTGGTGTAAAGTGCGGCCCGAAGAAATAAAAACCATGAGCGAATACATCTGCAAGCAGTGATAAAGCAGTGCACTCATTTTGCACTTGATTTAGAGTACGTGTAGGAAGAATGTGAACAAACTGAGCTCCGGCCTAATATCTTGATCATATTTCTTTTTTTCTGCCGCGTTTGTCAGGGTCTCCAGTTTTTTCCCGTCGCAGTTGATTGCACTTCTTCCTCATCACGTACAGACTTCACAACGAGAAGGGGAAGCCAAAGGAATGAGCCGCTCCTAGAGTCTTCCTCCAGCATTGATCCGCAAAATAGGCTTAGGGATACGCCCCGCGTTCAAAAAGTTTTTGAGTTGGGCGACTCAAATACTACTTAAAAGAGTTGTGTCACATAAGTGAAGAAAAAAGCAGAAAAAAAATCCGCCATGGAATATCCCTCATAGAACCCTGCGCTGAACCGCGCTTTTACGTGCATAAGACGAAGGATTAGCGTGGTCGGACGATTTCTCGCTTGTTGATGTCAGCTCTTTCTCTTTATCACTTCACTCTCAACACTGGAATTGAGGAGAGTTGCGGAACTACCCAAAACCAGCTAACAGTTAAAAATGAAAGTGTGCGTTGCCGTGGCCAGCGGGCGGAGCCGCGACTTCGTGGCGAATGGGTCCATCTCCTCATGTGTTTTTAAAGGCAGTTGGCACGATAAATCCCCCAAGACGACTAGGATCAATACTCCTGGCAGGATAGAATTCCGCGACCCTGGGCAGGCGCTGCATAGCGGTTTCCCCGAGGAAGGTGCCCTTATAAGGGCCCTATCAAGCCACAACTTTACGTCCCAAACGCCCGCCACGCCCGCCCGCCCACAAATGGACGACCGTTCCTGACGCTCGTATTCATTCATTTGCTAAGCAAATTATGAAGCGAAGGGATTGGTATGAAGCGGCCGTGATGCTGCATGCATACATGGGTACACATATGCAGCCGTATCTTCGGTAGCGGTGATTGGTAAGATGCCTACGGGAAACTCGTCCGAAATCACGAAATCGTCCGAAATCACCGAAAACTGAGAACGGAGACTCATCCTTCGCAGTGTTTTGACCGTTTCACTCCGTTCTTTCGCCATTTCCCCACTATATAGCGCCCTACTAGCATTTTAGGCTAAGTAGGAAACATCGTGCCGTGCCAACTGCCTTTAAGCTGCGAAAGTGATACATCCTCCATGTTTGCGGGCTGTAGTACCATGTCCGGAGAAGGCGTCTGAATAAATAAATTAGGGAGCATGGCTATAACTGGGCTTGTGGACTACGAGCGAAGGATTGTTTACCAAGCGGCGAGAGAATATCATAATGTGCTTTTCAGGACTCAGATGAGGATGCTACTCTGTCAAAGGAACAAGATGCTGTTGCACGATACGTTCGATTCAACTGTCCGACAAGTACTACGATGTTCCAGGGGAACGAAGTGCAGTACTTTACAGGTGATTAGCCGACCTTTTCCTCTTTCGCTACCTTGTAATTATACTTCTCGTTCACAGGTTCAAAGGCCATCGATACCTTGATGGAGTCAAAGTACGGCTCAAAAGCTAAAAATGAAGCTGCCATGTTATTCCCTAACAGGTATTCGTCTCTTCCTAGCACTTCAGATTTTGCGGGATTTTGTTTTCCCGTTAGTCGTTCTGCTTCAGGCAGGCAGCTGTTAATTATATGCGTGAGCTGATGACTCACCAACTATTTTTCCACGCGCGAAAACTGGTACCAAAAAAGAAGGAGGATAAGGAGAAAAAGGATAAGGGCAAGTAGTCTCCTCCGATGTTTTCTCTGTAGACGCTCTTGATTTCTTCCACAAGGTTGCTTTTTGCAGAGACTGGCAAGCCAACGAAATCTGAAAAGGACGAGAAAAAGAAAAAGGAGGACGAGACAGTAACTGAGACAGAGGCCGAAGACAAGAAGGATGACAAGAAAACAAAGGACTCAGATGAAAAGAAAACCAAGGTTTCGGGCTTTAGTTTATCTTTCTTTTTCCATCGTTACTCTATCAGAAGATTTTCTTTCTTATTCTTATTTGATGAGATACCGAGAAAGCATATACTCTATCTGAAATATTCTCTGCATGATATAGTTTTAGGAGGAGGAAGAAAAAAAGAAAAAGAAGAAGGTCAAACTTGAGGTGCATGATGTGCAGGTTTGTAGACTAGCTGTGCATTGTTCTTCTTTTTTTAACTTTTTTCCTCCGCTTTCTGTGCTTGATTTAAGGTCTTCAACGATGACAAAGATGTGTATGTGTGGGTGTTCGATCCAACGCCATTGTATAAAAAAATAATTGGACTTTGCATGGGTGAGTGTACTAGTTTCACCGTAGTATCAAGTTGGCAGGAAGGTCATGTCATATTTTCTGAAATTTGCCCTTCTTTTGTAAAGAAACCATTTTATAGATGTAATCCGTGCAAATGTAAGCCGGCGCATTGGGCAGGTAGCATCTCAACTCTATTCTGGTTCCATTTAACGGGTTTATTGGGAAGACAACTCGCAGTCGGAGGGAGAAATGTCTGGGCTGTACTGGTGCTAGATAAGAGGTAACCAGTTATATTGCCTGAGGTATGGATTGACCTTTTGTGGGGGTGTGGGCTGCGCTGTCATGTTGAAGGTGGACCGCGCGTACAAATTTTCCCCTCTGATCGACGATCCGCTTCAGATTTTGCAGCTGCTCTCTGTACGGAATGCCTGTGGGAGCAATTTTTCACCCAGGAGTTTAACAAGCCGCAGCTTCTTCAAGCTGAGTTCAGATGGACGTCCAGATCTCACTTCGTCCTCAAGACTGTAGTTTCCCGCAATGAAGCATGGCATTGTGGAGCATTGTACTGTGACTGGTGCATGGTCCTGCAACTCCTTTATTTTAGCCCCAGCAGCTCTCGTACTTAAGCCGGAATGATGGAAGGAAAATGCTTGAGGGAGTCGGTCCTGACGGCAGTACGAGGTTCTTGTCCACATTGTAAAAAAAAGAAGACATGTATTACTGCTCACGTTAGCTATCAGTTGCTTTGCTGAGATTGAGGGCAAGTATTTCAAGTAAAAAAATGTGGCAGAATTTTCTTGCCCACCCAATTTTGTTCGAATTAAGTCTCGCGGCATTCAGTTTTTAGTGATCTTATTTAAGTGCTTATTCGAACTTATGAGCAATGTGTATTATAGTTCTGGGCACAATAGTCGGTTGCCTGTTTCCCTTATGGCCAATGTGGCTCCGCCAAGGAGTATATTACTTGTCACTTGCTGGAATTTCGCTTTTTGGAGTTATTGTAGTGGTTGCTATTTGTAAGTGTTCAGAAATAATGTTTTCTTAATTTTGAATTAATGATCTTGTGCCATTTGTTAGCTTTTCATTTCAGTACGCACAATCCTCTTTGGCATCATATGGCTTGCAACTATGGGTCAACATAAGCTCTGGATTCTTCCCAACCTAACAGAAGTGAGTCATGTACATTGATCCATAAAATTTTAGAGAGAATTTTCAATTTTCCGGTGAATACTATCGAAATCTCTACAGGACTGTGGTTTCTTCGAATCATTCCAACCGTGGTACACGTATGAGTATTGCCCTCGAGACAAGAAGGGTAAAGACGCAAAGAAGAAGAAACAAAAGAAAGCGAAAGAAAGTGGTGGGTACACTTTTACTGGTATCATATTTAGCTCTTGTCGCCTGTTTTTTGTTCTTTATCCGAACAAGTCTCCAGATGATGAAAAGGAAGATCAACCTGAAGGTGACGATGACCAGGGGGACAAGAGTAATGCTAGCCAAGGCAGTCATTCGGGTGAACCATCAGGGAGTGAGGTAAGTAATGTGTTTTCTTTGAGCTTGCTCTTTCCTCTATACGCTCTTCACCAGTGGCCTAAACAAGGCTCAAGAATGGGTGGGTGTTCTCTGTAGAGTGCCAGAGGCCTTGCATTCTGAGCGCTTCTGACGGGGTATAATGAACGAGACCGAAAATTTCCACTTAGAGAAGCAGGGCCATCAAGTCCACACTGCGGAGATTAGTAGTTAGTCTTACTGCGCTGTTTTTACACAGGAAGTATCGCCTGAGAGTAAGCATGAGCTTTGATGTGCAGCGCATAGTCCTGGCATGAGATTTCCAACAGAAAAGCGCTTGAGGTGTTTCCACCAGAATGCCTCAAGCGCTTTGTTGGCGGAAATCTCATTCCTGCATTCTGCGCTGCACAACGAAGTTGTGTCCGCTAAACTTTCGAGAACACTGCTTGGCATTTGATCGAATAGTGCAGCGGATGTGACTGCGATATGACGTGTCGAATCCTGGCACGCGAGACAGATTATAGCCAGGAAAGAGGCATTAAGGGTTTTCAGAGGAACCCGTAGAATAAATGAGTGGTTGTCCATAGCAAATGAGCTCCTCTAATCACAGGTGTCACATATCATTATAACTCTTAGTTGTGGAATAAATTTCTAACAATTTTGTATGTTTTTTTTCTAGAAACTCCGATTATTTCTTTGAATCTTCAAGCCAACTCATATAAAGAGGGTGTGTGCATCCAAGAACATTCCTCCTGCAGAGCTGAGCCGTTAACCTACGTAAACACATAGTAAATATCGATTTTGACCGAGGGAAGGCTGACCTTATTTGCTTTACAAGTTCTTCTGATCGATGCAGTTTAGAGCATAGGCATGCCGTTCAGTGTGGGAATGCTTCTCTGTCTTACCGCTATAGATTGGTTCTAGAATATCGAAAATGACATCACAGAAGGTAGTGAACTTTCACGGCCGTCCTGAATGTCCAGTTCTGGTCGATGAGTCCCATATCTGAATCGTACATACCATTTTCACTTCAAATTCACCACTTTTCAAACAAAATTCACCACTTATCAAAAATGGTGCAAAACGGCTGTATAGAGTCTTGGCTCGCATGCTCGGGTCT